ATTGTAGCTTTTTGCCAATATTATAGTTATCAAATCTACTCTTCTTTGTTTATATATATCTTTATTGTATTCCTTATTTCTGTTATGTTTACACTTTTTTCAATTGTGGAGTGTATTGTTCAAGGTTACCAATATTACTCTATTGTCCTTATTCAATAATTTTGTTTATGTGATTGTGTCATATGTAGATCAAATTTTTAGTGTTGTGACTTGAGTCTTTGATGTATTATCTCCAACTTTCATTACATGATTTTTCTTTTCTTGGTGTCCAACTATCTCCTGCTAATGTGGAGTGTGATTATATACAAGGAATGATATAATTTAATTCCTAGAAGATGTTAAGAGGATTGAGTTTATGAAAAGATGATATTTATGAATTTGAGTAAATTTTTAATTGTGATGAGGATTTTAAATTTTTTGAGGCTAGCTTTCAAGATAAGTTGAAAATTTTATAAGATAGGTGTCAATTCCTAAATCTATCATATAAGCTTTTCTTTTTATCTTCTATTATTTCTCAGCTTGAGCCACTTTCTTGAGAATTGAGAATAAAAACTATAAAAGTCAAAAGTGAATAATGTTTTAAGAGAAATAGGTGAGGAATAAACATTAAAATATGATTTATTCTCAATTTAATTCTCAATAAATTCTCAATTTATTCTTAATTTATTCTCCTTATATTCCTTATACTGATTTAAATGTTGAGAATATATATGTAATTGAGAGTCTTACTTTTGTCTTGTAAACAAAACTTTTGATTTATTTCAGTATTGAGTATTCTTCTTTTAAAGTTCTTTTTGTAAAAGTTTTAAATTAAGTGTGTTTCCTCTACTGTAAGTACTACTAAAAGTCTTTGTTAATAGTGTGAGTTTAACTCCTAATGTGCAGTATTGGACAAGGATAAAAGTAGTAAATCTAGATTAACAATGATTTTAGAGATTGGTTAAATGAAATATGTAGAAATTTGTCATTTGCTACAATAATGTTTTATATGTTATAGTCACCCTCAAAATCCCTTGCTTCAGTTTATAATTATTTCTCTGAGGTTGGTCTAAGCATAATTTGGCACATGGGATTATAACTAGTTCATTGGGCTTCTATAACTAGCTAATGTTTTTTGGAATTAACAATTACCTTCGTGGTTGTGTTTGGCAGTCAATAATTATCAATAATATATTCCACTTAACTTATCATCATCATCTAAGATCATCTTGAAAGGCAAATTTTTATGGCAACCAAATGATCACTCAACAAAAACTCCAAATGTTCCAAATGTTATTTATTGCATAATAATTATTATATCTCAAGTTTATCAGTTCTAGCTTTTAGTTTTTCAATTACTACACAATAGATAATGATGATGATGATGTTTGTATTTGCACACAAAAACTCTATTAAGACCATCAACTTGCCTTTAGTCACCATGTTTTATCACCATTCACTTTGTTGGTTTGTCATGATAACAACTAGACAACAAATGAGGAACAAAATGACAAAGGAATCACAAACTAAAGGAACAAAGAATAATCAAATCTATAAATAGCTAGAGGAGTAATTGTAAATACATCATGTCTAGTTAGTATCATCCCTACCTTTTATGCCTTCATATCTACCACGATCTGTGTGTAGTGGCCACAGTCGTCATTGAAGAGGCACGAGTTGGAGTAGTAGTCATACTAGTGGCGCTCGTAAGGAGAAGTTGTAGATATGAATCAACTACAATTACTCCTCTAGCTACTTATAGATTTGATTCTTCTTTGTTCCTTCAATTTGTAGTTGCTTGGTCATTCTCTGCTACTAGTGATTGTCCAGTTGTTATTGTGATAAACCAGCAAAGCTTATGGTGGTAGAACATGATGACTAAAGGCAACCACAGAGCTTGTGCTGTGCAAATATAAATAGCTAAGGAAGCTCTGTTCTTGAAGGAGGCATTGATTGTCTGTGAAAATCAATCAACAAGTACTTGATTAGCTGCACTGATATAGCTCTCTCTGATTTCAAAGAGATCAAGGTTCTTATTGAAGACGGGAGTAACAAGAGGAAAGGAGAAAATTGAGCATACTGGGATGCAATATGGGGACAAGGTGGCAATAGGATCCAAGCATAACATTGAGTCCTGAGGGTTCACCAATGCATGTCACATGCATTGACACATTTTGTGAGCGATCATCTTGAAAGGATTAGAGAAATTAGAGTAAAGGATCAATCAAGTAATCCTTCCAAGCATCACTTAATCTCCCGCCATGGCTACAACCGCTAAGAAGCCTGAGTAGGACAAACACATCAGGCAGGAATCCTTCAAGAATCATCTTACTCATTATCTCAAACGCATGAACAAAGCAGCCATTGAGAGCATAAGCTGTGAGAAAGACGATATAGGCTGTGGCGTTGTGAAAGGCATCATATAGAAAAGCTCGCGGGCTCTAGTTACATCCCCAATTTGAGCATTTGCGAGACGTCCAGGATACCTCATGTTATGCAAATCAATATAGCGCAGCATCCACGTCACCAGGACGCGGCCAGTTTGGGCCATGGCGGCAATCGTGGACGTAAAGCACCAAACCTCCCATTCAGGCATCCGTACAAAGAAGTCGTCGGTTTCATTGATATGCCCCATTTGGGCAAGCACTGTGACTGCCAGAATCCACGACATTGTGTCTCTCGCTGGCATGGAAAGAATCAAGGAGTAGGCTTCCTGCCCTAGGCAAGAGCCTATCATCGTGTTCCACGTTGCCGTGGATCTCAACAGCATACTGTCGAAGAGTTCCTTTGCCAACTCCAAATGCCAGTTCCCACGACATCCCGGCCGCTCATTTTCTCGAACATGTCGCACAAACGGTCGAGATCGCCGGCGCGGGCGTGGTGGTGTCTGACTGATGCTCCGCTAAGGTCATAGTGCCAACATGTACACAAATTACAAGAAACTCTGTTCATTTGGAGTCTAGCAAAAAGACTTTCGTGAGATACCATATGATCCCTGGACGTACACGTTTCCAGCATTGACTGGATTCCAATCTCCGCGAGGCCATGTTGGTCGGGATCCATTAACCGCCCAGTTTGTAGCAATGCTCCAATATGCGATTGATCAAGTAGTCCAAATGCCCATTAAGGGAATGTGCTAGAGCATAACGTTCCAACACACCTCGTGCAATCTGGTCAACATTTTTAGCGCAGTACGTGGCCAGTCCGAGCCATAGCGGCAACCATTACCAAACCTCCCATTGAGGCATCAGTATCAAGAAGTCCACAGTTTCCGTTATATGCCCCATTTGGGCACGATTTCCAGAATCCACGACACTGACCTCGCGCTGGCCTTTGTGGTATTATCTTAAAGAGTTCTTTTGCCAACTCAAAATACCCCTTCTGGGCATTCACCGTAATCATCCAGTTCCAGCACACGACATCCCGGCCGCCCATTCTCTCAAAACATGTCGCACGAACGGTCGAGATCGCCGGCGCGGGCGTAGTGGTCTATCATTGTCGTCCACGACATGGCATCTGGGGCCTTGAGTCGATCAAACAGGTTTCTCGCATCCTCGAGGCGCCCATTCTCGGCAAGCGCTGCGACGGTCACATTCCACGCGCAACTCCTGGGCTTGGCGAGGTCGTGGAAGATCTCCAGGGTGTGCTCCGGGGCCTGCCGCATTTCCCATACATGCGAATGAGCTGCGAGACGAGGCGATCGTTGCCTCGATGCCTTGTTCTAGCGCTGTGGGCGTGTTCTAGGATCGTAGTGGCCAGATTCTTGGAATCGCTGGACCAATCGCAGCAGGAAATCCAGATCATCGGCATCTGGAGTGGAAGCGGCCGTGGCATGGAAGAAGAATTAATGTATAGAAATTTCAAGAATATGCGCGAATTGTCTTCCTAATTTAAAGTACGGATCCTAGGAATATGCTCGAATAATCTTCCTTTTAAGAATATGCCCAAATAATCTTCCTACTCTAAGACCAGTCCCATGATGGACTCTCTGTATGGGTGATCCAGCACCACTAGAGGCAAGATTTGCATCCCATCGCAACATCAAACCACGGAGTGGAAGATGGAAAGAGGCCATTTTTAACAAGAGTGTCAAGGATGCGGTGGAAGAGGAGCAGCAAGAGAAAAGCCCGGCAAATGTGGGCAAGTACGCAAGCCTCATTAGAAGCTGCACGGCCACGCAAAATCTAAGCGACGGGCGACGCCTCCACCATCACATAGCATCGCACCCCAACTCCAAGTACAGAAAGGACCGATTCCTGGGGAATTTGCTCGTGAACATGTACGGCAAGAGTGGCTGCGTCGACGAGGCTCGCGCGGTGTTTGACGCTATTGCCCATTCGAATGTGTTCTCGTGGAACATGATTCTTGCAGCATACGCCTTGAACGGGCATTTGGACAAAGAAAAATCCACGTTTGAAGAAATGCCTGCGAAAGATGCAGCCTCGTGGACGTGCATGATAGCTGCATATGGTCAGGTGCGCCAACTTTTTGAGGCTAGAGAATTGTTTGATTCTATGCAAAATCCCAGCGTGGTTCCTTGGAACGCTATCATCTCTGCATATGCCCATGCAGGGCATGCGTGGAATATGGAGCCTGGGAATGCCGCTCCCTACGTGCTGCTCAACACTACGTAATCTAAGCAAAAGGTGGCGTAGTCCCACTTTATGAGCAAAAGGTGGCGTACGTTTTAGAAGATGCCGTGTTGGAATGCTACAATTTTGTCGTGTTGTTCCTCATGCCACAAAATGCCAGCAGAAAAGAGGGTCTTCTGTAGAAAATACTAGAGAGGAAGAAAAAAAGAGACAGAGATCATGGGGGTCGCTGCAAATCTAGACGCAATTCTTGGGGAGTCTCTCACGATTGAGGACTACTACGTCACTGATCCAAGCGATCGTCCCACCGTTCCGCACAACGCATACGATGACGCCTCCGACACAATCCCTTGCCTCCACCTCGCGAGAATTCGTGCCTCATCGGGCAAAGATCGCAAGCGGATGCTCGAGGAGGTGAGAGATGCCGTTTGCGAGTGGGGTTTTTTTTGAGTGGTGGCTCACGGCGTGGATGAGAAGCTCGTCGATGATACGGTTGCATGGGCTCGCGGTATCTTCGACATGGATCTCGAGACCAAGCTTAAATCCCTGGTGGATGACTCGTCCGGAAGTCTTGCCGGATACCATTGCGGCGTCGTCAAACAGAACAAATCCTGGCAGGAATCATTCCACTCCGGGCCGACCCCAGCGATTTCAAGATCGCTGCCGAGAAGTTGTGGCCTTCCAGCGAGGAAATCAAGTATGTTCTTTGTTTCTAAGTTGATCTAAAACTTTGTGCAGGGAGATGCATTACAAGTTCTCGATGGCTATGGAGGAGCTCGCTCTGGAGATCCTCCAGCTGCTGGAGGAGACTCTGGGAGTCACTAGCGGGGATTTCACACGCCACTGGGAGCGACTGAAGAGAACTCTCGTTCGCTTCAATTGGTATCCTCCTTGCGAAGAGCCTGGCCTTGTTCTTGGCGCTGGCTCCCACACAGACCCCGATATCATCACCATCCTCCTTCAGGACGAAGTTGGAGGGCTCCAGATCCTCAAAGACTCCAAATGGATCGCTTGTAAGCCACTGCATGGGTCTTTTGTCGTCAACGTTGGGGATTGCTTGCAGGTATAGTCTTGTTTCTTTATAAATTATTAGAGACTATTGTTTTGTTATTTCTTCCAGGTATTAAGCAACGATTTTCTTCCTAGCCTCCAGCATCGAGCCGTGCTAAACAAGGAGAAAGCTCGATTGTCCGTTGTTACTTTTGTGCTTCCAAAGGTCGATGCAACAATTGAGCCATCATCGGATCTGGTCGATGAAGATCACCCTGCAGCATTCAGACGTTTAATGTTTGAGGAAATTATCAATGCTGCGAAAGAAATGAAGTTCAAAGGAAAAGAGGTTCTATCTCTTTTCCGTGTTTGAGAAAAAAGTGTGCCTAGAATATGCTTTATTCCTTAAAATAATTTATTGCCTGGAATATGCTTTATTCCGCGACCAAACACATTTATTTGTTCAGTTGTTTAGGGCTTGTAATCTTTGTCAAACAAGAAGGAAAGTTGGGTTTGGACTTTGTAGTGTTTTTTTCTTTGTTATACTGCCGTCTCTCCGATGTTGATGCCCCAACCATATCCCTCTAGATCTTTGGTCGACCAAGAGCCTGATGGATTCATCCCACATTTTATCAAACAAGTTTGGGGAGCATAATAAAAACTAGATCTCCCCGACACGCTTGACAGCTCCACAAGCAAACTCTGGAGGGAGAGAGACTTTAAAAATCACACACAGTTGCTTTAGGCGTTGATTTTGGATTCAGTCCACTGGATTCTGATGGATCCACGCCAACAGATGTTTGGAGGAAGAAAAAAGAAACATTTGAGCTTGGATTTGGATCGCGATGCTGATACCGAGGGTCACGAGATTTCTGCACCGCAAAGTCCATGATATCACCCAGATCTATTGAACTTTTCTACGTGCCTGGCCGACCTAAACTTGCATCGATTTTGCGGCACAATGTGGAAGAGAAACTGTTGCGCCCTCTTACCTTTGTCTCAAAGGAGGATCCATCCGAATCTCTGCTTGTTTCTTGCGTTTGTCCCAATGTTGGACCTCTGTCACCTTTTGCCAACTTCTAACAAATAAACACTCAAAATGCATCATGTTCTCAACCTCCATCCATACCATCTTTAAATCTTTTTTCATTCCTCATCCACACATATACAGAATTGTTCCGAATTATAATTGCGCTGGTAATAATACAATGGTGATTATTATTCCGCATTTGCCTGCAAGTATTGACTGACCGGGATTGATCAATATCACAGGAAATTTGATGAGAAATATATATAAAAATAAGTAGAAAAGCTGCAAAGGTTCCTCCACGCCAGAAGATCAGAATATTAGTCGACTCTGGGGTCACACACAGAACTTATTCTTTTTCATCTTCTTCTTCTTCTTCCTCATTTGCGCTCTAGCCAAGGAGCAGTGATGGACTGACCTGACCCTTGAAATTGAGAGGTCCTTGCTTCTTCAGCAGAGGACACGACCACTGCATCTACAACACACACTACCTTGTCTTGTCATTCTGCTGAAAGATTTCAGGATATGTGGATTAAAAAACTATATGGAATTTATGCTTTTCTAGATAAGAATCACATTTACATGGCCCATTTATTCGACCGTCCACAAAATTCCTCCTCGGGGAAGAACAATAGTTATATAACTATATCCGCTCCTGGAAAAGTAAGAAAATCACCCATTTTGAGAAATTTCTCTACCCAAGCATAAAGAAAATCATTGATTTTATTCTCATTCCTGCGCGAAAAGAATGGAAAAATCATTCCACAATTCCTTTGGAGTAGCTTCCAAGTGTGAAAATCAATGATTCTGCACGTCCGTACACTGGGTGTTTGCATCAAGCTATCAACCTTTGCAAAACGGAGTCCCTTATTATAGTAAGAAAAAAGATTCCATGTTCGAAGAGTTTGTACCGCAGGGAGTACAAAGGAACAGGCCAAAGACACCTATATCACCGATTTAAAAACAATGGTCCTCTTGCTTCTCCTTCCTCCCACCTCTGATTTATTGGAGCATATATCGTCTCCCCACTTGGGATTGAAAGCTAGCAGGTGAGCAAATGCAAGGCGCAAGCACATCTCCACCACCAAAAATCTCAAATCCCAAATCCCAAATCTAAGCTTGGCTTTTGTTGTTGCTCCACATCTCATCTCACGTACGGAACATGAGGTTTAAAGTCCCACTTGTGAGCACAAAGAGGCAAACCAACATAAACATTGTGGTCCTTTGCGCTGCTGGTTGCTGTTTGCAATAGTGTTGGGTGATAGTGGTCATTGCAACCAAGGAAAAAAAAGGGCTATAAGGATAGTGAGTAAGTTGAGTATGACCAACTAACTTGAAGCATAGTTTAGCTTCTATTTGGGTGTTTGTCTTTGTTTTATGTTTGGTTTAGGTCTAAGCCCAAGTTTCACACCATGCTAGTTAATGGAGTATCTATATCTGTACGTTAGGCCACTGGTATGCTGAAATAGCGCCAAAGTTCATTTAGCTTTGTTTTGCATGTTAATTCTGGCATTGGGATGTTGGATGCTCTAAGATTGTTCCAAGTTACTCCATTCTCTTGTCCCTTAGTTACTCCTTAGGCTATATGCTCAAGAGTTGTTCTATGATTTATTGCTATCATTCCTTAACTCCATGCTTGGGAGTTTGGCTTTATTCCTTCATTCAGTGGCCCAAGGCCCCGAAATTTGGCTTCTGCACCACTATTCTTTAGACATATGGCACATAAAGGGTTTAGATTTTTCTTCATGATTATCTTATGGTAAATCACCATAGGACAAAGGTGTAAGCCACAAATTTTTCCTTTCCAATTTGCAATTTTACCTCATCTATCTGACCAACACTTCCTTGGATTTAGCTAAGTTTCCTCGCCAAGGTTTTTGCCTATGGTACTAGCTCCTACTTAGTTTCAGCTATTCACTACACAAGTAATGGAGCGATAACTATTCATCCACAGATTCCCAAATCTCTCCCAATCCCCCTCCCTAGGTTAAACTGGACTTAAGGTTCGGCTACACTCCCCACAAGCACAAGCAGCTAAGCACACCAAGCCTCCAGAAGGGAAGGCCCAAGCCCCTAGGCAGGGTGAGGATCAATGAGCCACATGGTACTCAAGTGGGGCACCACTCCACATAAGCTAGGAGCACTGCAGTTGGTTTTCCTTCTGGGAGTGGGAGTTGCTCTTGAGCACTTTCTGCGGTGGCCCCTTCGGCACCACTCAAGTCCATGCTCACTCCCACCCAAGGCCCCTTGACCCCAATCTTAACCTTAAGGCAGTTTGGAAGCACTACTAGAGAGTTCCTTCAAGATTAGTTCTTAAACCTCACTATCCCTACTAAATTTTGGGAACCTTGGGAGGGGGGCCCCCCCCCCCCCCCCCCCCCCTACAACAACTTGGGGAGTTGGTTCCTTACAACTCCACCAACCATAGAAGAAGTTTGATATCAACGTCAAATGTCTCTTTTTAATCTTACGACTTGTTGACCATGTCTCCGGGGGCATCCTCCCACTTAGTGGTGTGCCTAAATTAGCTTCCTCGACCAAGAGCCCATGACAACAAAATATAGGTGTCCTTATACCCCTCACCTCACCACGCCCTAGTATGGGGTTGGGACTTAAACCCAGCCTTGCTTTACTAGGGGGTTGGGACTTGAACCCAACCTTCGTAGAATCCATCTACAGATTTGACATCCCCATGGGGAGTTAGGGGTAGTTCCCTACACCTAGTTGACCTAGCTAACACATGCTAATTAGCTTACCTTCGGCGGGCCTTCAGGTCTCAACATATGCTATTGCTCAACTTCACAAATTGATATTTTTAATTGAACTTTAAGTACATAGAGTTCTGCCTTGCAAAAATTCCTCCACTAGATCTTGCGCGTTCGCGAGGTTCTTCTTCGGTTCCCATGTTGTTTCGCAGTGTGGAAATCCTTTCCACTTCATATAGAACTCCCTCACCTCGTGTCCTTGTCGTTTGCTCTTGTGTGCATTGAGGATGGCCTCGACTTCGTATTCCTCTTCCCCTTGG